GCGTGGCTAATGTTCCGTGTGACCGCAGCCACTGTATGCTATTTTGTCATAAGCTGCCCTCAGCCCTACTTGTAGGGAAGGGTGGCCTAGCATATCCAATTAAATAAATAATATACCCACACACACAGAGAGAGAGAAGTGGGAAAGTGTTCTTCTCCCAGGAGATGAGTGGCAGAGAAGCCACTACCAGCCGGAGAGGATCCTTCACCCAAGGAGAGTGGGTTGGACCTGGGAAGGGTAAGGTAGAGCAGGGACCAGTGAGGCAGCCGCGTTAGGAAACTTTACTGTTATCTTGCTAGCTCCTATGTGTGTTCATTTTTCCCTGTTGGTTGAAAATGTATCCTTCTTATGGCTGTTGCTCCCAAATGTATTTTATCCCCGTCCGTTAGCTACTACCCACCTTGTTTAATAAAACAGTTTGTTTTAATCTGCCTGTGTCCTCACATTTCAAGCCTGACCTGGCAATGCTCTCACTAGTGTGTGTGTTTGTGCCGGGGGGGGGACCTGCTCACAACTTTAATGCCGGTAATTTTTGCTCACAGGACTCCACAGCTTAGAGGGAGCATTGGTTGTGGCTGCTAGTTAAGGCCCTTGCCTGCTCCGGGGCTGAAGGGGGCAGGAGGAAAGGAGAGTATGTATCCTGGGAGGGGACACACACCTTAGCCAAACCCCCACGTGGCTCCTCAAACCCGCAACACATGATGGAAGTAACATGATTGGTGGATCTATGCTCCCAAGTGCTCCCCCTCATATGCAGACCTCTTCTGAAGAAGTGTGCCTGCACATGAAAGCCTATACCCAGAACAAATCTTTTCTGGTCTTAAAAGGTGCCCCTGGACTCAGACTTCGTTATGCTGACCTCTTTTGCTGGTGCATCTGCCCTGCCATTTGTCCAGTGCTGCCTGATGTAGTTCCTTAAGTAGACCCTGAAGTTTTTAAATGTTTGCTCTCATTCAGACATCCTGCTACCTTAACTCTAGTTTGATGTTTTTAAATCAGTTGCCTACCATTATAGCAGTGCTATGTATGCATGTTCTCTCTTTTTTTCTTTCCTCGTCTTTGGATGTAGCATTGTTATGGCCAGTTTTCTTTAAAACAGATGCTCAAGAAAGGATTGGTCTCTTTGATCTGGGCACAGTTTACTGCCCAGTATTTGGACTTATGCATTCTATGTATTTTCCAGGGTTCATGGTGAACAATGTACACATATCTTCTTCAAATCAATGTTCCATGTTTGAATTTAGTACTTGGGTATTTCTACCAGAGTGTAATCCATGGTGTAATGTATTGACAACGATTACATGAACATCCATGGCATGGAAAGTTGCCCCCTCCTCAAAAAGAGGGATGCAAACTCAAGCCATGAATAATGAATAAAAAGCAACATTGTGCCATCTTGTGGCTTCGCAAATTACAAATGGAAAAACAATGCTGAAAGATGCTATTCAGAGCTAAAACAGATCTGATAAAGTTCATGAATTTATGTCTGTCTACAGAGGGTGAATGGCATGCATAGCCACAAGGTGGATTAGGGTCAATTGAAAGGGGAGAGAGGATCTAACCCTTCAACCTTTCCTTGGTGTCACAAACAGAAACATGGCTTCTGGGGCTTTTATTGACATTTGTTTTAGGATCTGGGGGGTTCTCCCCACTCTGCCATGACATCTTGCTGGGTGACCTTGGGCCAGTCACACTCCCCCAGCCCAGCCTTCCTCAGAAGTAGTCATGGGGATAAAACAGCAGAAAGGAGAATGATGTTAAGCACTTAGGGTCCCCATTGGGGATAGGCTTGCCAACAGTTTAGGGAGGAGGGGGAACCCTTTCTCTTTAACGGAGGTTTAATGGGAAGTTATTTACCAGTTTGGTCCAGAGAGACAGTTTGGTGTAGTGGTTAGGAGCACGAACTCTAATCTGGGAGCACTGGGTTTGATTCCCCACTTCTCCACATGCAGCTGCTGATGTGACCTTGGGTCAGTCACAAGTCCTTTCAGAGCTGTTCTCTCAAGGGCAGTTCTTGAGAGAGCTCTCTCAGCCCCACCTACCTCACAGAGTGTCTGTTGTGGGAGGGAAAGGAAAAGGGATTGTAAGATGCTCTTAGACTCCTTTGGGTAGTGAAGGGCGGGGTATAAATCCAATCTCTTCCTCTTATTTTTCTACTACTACCACCACCAGGTGATGTTAGTTACCTCTGTGCCATGAAAATCTTTCCCTTTTCCATACATTAAGCCTCTATTAAAGGGGCAAGGCATTTTTTTCTCCAGGTTGTTGGCAATCCTGATTGGAGAGACAGGCATGGCATAAATGAAATCAATAAATACATTTTTAACATGAAAACTATGAGTGTTTAAAGATATATTTTGCTATTTTAAAGCACAGATAACAGAACCAAGAATCCAGCTTTTATTAGCAGAACTAATCATGGCCATACACCACATGTTGTTTACCTTCTACAGGCTGGCAGAGATCTGTGACCTTAAATACATATATTTGTGCCTTTAGGTTCCATAGGTCAAATTGCATCCTGTGTCAAGCCCTATAGGACAATCAGTTTCTAAATTCTGTCCCTGGAGCACTACACCCAAATCACAGCCACAAAGTCAGGTTCAGGTGTATCTATGTTGCCCATAACAAGTATAGAGGTTGCAGGTACCCACATTAGTCCAAAACAAGCCCCAAGAACACAGGCCATGTAACACCTTTTATTAGGACCAACCAAAACGACACAAAACAGGGTCCAAACTCCCTAGTACTACAAAGAACTTCATCTGTGTGTAGTATGGCCTAGGATCTACTACATTAGTACAGACAGCGAATAACAGGTGTCTATTTCCTTTCCATGATCTACTAGGATATACTAAAAGTACACATGGTGCTCTTCTTTATACTGGTAATATGGGTTGGATCAAACCAACTTTTTTGTTGCTAAAAAATCAGGGAAAGATCCCCCTTGATCACCACAAAGACTATGCTAGGAATCATGGGATCTGCATGGATGAAAGGCATGTGTGAAAGGGCCTGATATTAGATGGGATTGAGTGAAAAAAACTGGCTGGATCCAACCTTATGTGATGAAGCCTTCAGTCAGGTGTCTCACTCTCAACCTCAGATATATATGTAAGGGCTGTCAAATTGCAGCTGACTTAAGGCAACCTCAGCAAGGGGCTTTTAACGGAAGTGAGAAGCAGAGGTGTTTTGCCATTGCATTCCTCTGCAGAGCCATGCTTGGTGGTCTCCCATCCATGTACCTACCCTGCTTAGCTTCAGAGATCTGACAAGATTAGGCTATACTGTTAGGGTTGCCAGATCCCACCTGGCCACTGGTGGCAGAAACAGGAGTGGGATTTCCAGATCCAAGTTGGGAAACTGCTGGAGATTTGGGGATGGTGCCTGTAGAGGACAGGGACCTCAGTGGGGTACAATGCCACAGACTCCACCCTCCTAGGCATCCATTATCTCCAGTGGAACTGATCTCTATAGTCTGGAGATGAGCTGTAATCCTGGGGGGTCCCCAGGTCCCACATGAAGGCTGGCATACCCATAGATCATGCAGCCTCCCCCACCCCGATACCACCTGACAAAACAAACTTTAAAGATTTACAGGGCTGTTATGAGGAAGAATAGATGATGATTATAAAAAGCACTGAAAAGGCTAAAAATATTGAAATATGAACATAATGTGTCACATTTATGATTTCAAGATGAACCACCTTTACTCTCATTTGAGAAAACAGCTGTAATATGCTCAGGAGAATTTTACTAACTCTGCATTATATATCAAATAGTTTCAGAAGTACATGTGTGTGTGGAATTTTGGGTGGTCAAAGGAGTCCCTTTCTCCCTTTTTCACATGGAAAAGCTTGCTGGTTGCAGTTCCAGTGATAGGATAAGCCAGCGGGAACATTTGACCTGGACTTCAAGCTCAAAACATGCCTCAGATTTAGACGCTTATTATTATTTTTGCATTAATAAGCCCTACAGCTGGGTGTTATGTGCATCATGCACCATCATTTAAAAAAAATATATGCATAGGGGCTTCAAAAGCTAGCAGTGGTCTGAGCCTGCAGGACATCTGAGAATGCCTGGTTGGATGTGACCCATGGTTCTAAATAGCATAATGGAAGCTGAAGATGACATGATGTCAACTTGCCACCAGAGAGCGCTGTGAGTCAGGTTTTCACTAAGTGATGAACCTACTAAACATGAACTATATTCTGAATAAGAAAAACAAGGGCCAAGTTCAGACTGGAAGTTTGCTCCGATATAGGCACATTTCAGAAATGTTTCACAAATGGATTAAAGGGGCCGTTCACACAGGCACATCTGTCCGGCGTCCCCCAGCCATATTCAAACCCTGGAAAGCGCGATTATCCCATGTCCATCCCGCACCAACAAAGTGTGAATGCCAAAAGCCGCGTTTTTCTTGTGCCCTTATGTGCATAACTCCAGATTACCTAAAAGAAAGTTACGCCTTACAGCCATGCCTCCGCCAGGGGCGGGCCAACAAGGACTTAGCCAAGGAAGGTGTATTGGTGGTAATATGCAAGTTACTGTGTTGGCTTGTAGAATGTCTTTGCATTGCAAGTCGATTTTAGTGGCTGCTTGGGCTCATGAGAAAAATGATGTCTGATGAAACAAATCATGACATCACCTTAGTATAAAAATCAAACTGGAATGAGAATATATTCAGGTGAGTGGCCGTGTTGGTCTGAAGCAGTAGAACAAAGTTTGGGTCCAGTGGCACCTTTAAGACCAACAAAGTTTAATTCTGGGTATAAGCTTTTGTATGCAAGCACTTTGAAGAAGTGTGCAGGCACACGAAAGCTTATACCCAGAATTAAACTTTGTTGGTCTTAAAGATGCCACTGGACTCAAACTTTGGAGGGCGAATGTATTGGAGGCACTTATTCAGCGCCACTTCATGTAGCTGGTATTTAACAAGCTTTAGAAACTTCTTCATAGCCACGAGAGCAGTATGACCACTGTTGTACTGAGGATTCTAATCCGCACCATTGACTGAGAGGCCCAAATCCTAAAATTTAATATATTTTACTGCAGCACTGTGGGAACTGCTGTCTGTTATAAACCCTTTTCCAACAAGAGGAGTGGTGCAAAGGAAGTGGTTCCTTCTCAAGAGGCTGTTGCTTGATGATCTATAGACATGGTCATGGGGGGGTGGGAGTAGGAGGAATCCACATCATTGGCTCTATATCCATGTGGGCATGACCGGAGCACTAAGGAACTGGACTGCAGGTGCTCAGGTCCCATTCCCCTTGCTCGAAAGCCAGTCGAGTCCGACTCTAGGGTTGTGGTGCTCATCTCCGTTTCAAAGCTGAAGAGTCAGCGCTGTCCGAGTAATGTATAAATCAGACCTGAGTGTTGAACAAGGAGATGATAGTAATTCAAGGTGACTAACCACGCAATATAAATCAGTTACACAATTCTATTTATTGATTTACTTTATTTACATTATTTATAGAATGCTTTTCTCACAGGGGCTCATTACACACAAAGCATCACACACACTAACTAATCCACTTTCAATCAGCTTTCAGTGCACTTTCCAACTGGATTTTACCGGGCGAACTGGCAAAATCCAGTTGGAAAGGGCATTGAAAGTGGATTATTTAGTATGTGTGGCTGCAGCCACAGTGAGTCAAGAAAATAGGACATTCAATAACCAATGCATTAGGATTTTAGAAGTTTGGAACAGTGTTCCCTCTAAGCTGAGTCAGTGTGAGCTAGTTCAGTTTTTTGGCCTCTGGCTCACACATTTTTGTCTTCGATCAGGAAGGATGGCTCCAGAGCAAACTAATTTATGCAGTAGCCAAATCGTTCACTCACGACTTTAATGCCAGTAGCTTACAAAGTAGGATTTCTGCTCACAAGTCTTCACAGCTTAGAGGAACCATTGGTCTGGAACCACCAGAAGGAACTGAAGCATAGGATAAGTATTAACATCTGACACATTAAGCGGTATGGAAATTACATAATAGGGCCCTACTTACAATAAGCTATATGCAGCAGTATATCCTGCCTTTCTCCCCAGTGAGATCCCAAAGCAGTTCACCTTGTTCTCCTCTACTCCATGTTAAGCTCACAACAACCTGTGAGGCAGGTTAGGCTGAGAGTGTGTCTAATTGGCCCAAGGTCGCCCAACAAGCTCCCATATCAGAGTGGGGATTCAAACCCAGGTCTAAGTTTATTGTCTTAAATGGACTTCGAAAGGCGTAACTCTGCCTAGAATTGCACAGTAATTAATGCAGGGAACAAGTGTGTTCTTGTATATAGTTGTGATTGGGGGGTTGGTTGGTGTGTGTGTATGCCTGCAAGACTACAGAGCTCAGCTCCCCTGGGGAAAATGGCGGCTCTAGAAGGTGGCCTGAATGGCATCATATACCCTGCTAAGGCCCCTCCCATCCCCAAGCCCCGCCCTCCCTAGGCTCCACCCCCAAATCCCCAGGAATTTCACAACTCAGAGCTGGCAACCCTGGCAGAATCACGTAGACCTTCTTGCAATGAAAGTACACATGGATGGATGATGTTTCTCTTTTATTACTGCCTGGTTGTTTGTTTTCATCTGTGGGTTCTTGGAGGTGAAACGGTGATAATACCAAGGAAGAAGCACTGGGGTCATGCTATGGTTGAAAGTTCCCTGCTTTATTTCACCTTTATATTTTCTGTGTTGTTTCTGATTTGAATGCTTTGAGACATCTGATCTTTTCTTTTTCTTTTTTCGTTCTGTGCCTTTGTGACTGACAGCCCTTGAACGCTGGGCATACAAACCACAAGCCTCCTTGTCTTCAGCACTCTTCTTCCTTGTTGCTGCCTATTTTGTTTCTCCACACGGGGGCACTGCAGTCAACAAATAGACTGTCTCATTCTTAGCCATCCCAAATGGTGTGCAGCTGCCTATTGGAAAGGACGGGCACAGGGCCTCATTATAACACCGCATATTCTGCAGGTTAATTCATGCATCTTGTATAGTCCACTGCATCAATCATCGCCGCCAAGGAGGTAAGCAAAAATACCCTCTGGCACAGCTAAACATAGATTTTTTTATCAGAAGAGACGAAACATTTTGTGCCACATTTTGTTGATGTCAGTTCAGCTATACTTGTACTTATCAACATTTATAAACACAGCCCAAAGTTCTCAAGGCAGTTAAAAAAAACCCCAAATATAAAACAGCAACACAATAAAAAGGAGAAAACGATGGACTAGAGCAATGGGTTCCCAAAAACAGCCATGCAGCCATAAAAGAGGATCAAGTGAAGGTGGTGGTGACAGCAATAAAAATAAATGTGCAAATTTCAAGGCAGCTGAAATAACACCACAGATGATTAAAAGCTTTCTGTTGTACCCAGGGCTTTTTGTGTAGAAAAAGCCCAGCAGGAACTCATTAGCATATTAGGCCACACCCATGACAGCATGGCTCATTAGCATATTAGGCCACATCCCCGTGTTACCAGAAGTGTGGTCATCCAGCCACACCCACCTTTTGCTTCTTATTCTGTTTACCTTGTTTGCTGTCAAAACCCAGGGCTTTTTTTGGGAGCAGGAACTCCTTTGCATGTTAGGCCACACACCCCTAATGTAGCCAATCCTAATGGGTTTCTGCTTTTGGGTGTGGCCTATTATGCTAATCAGTTCCTGCTGGGTGTGGCCAACTTGGGAGCCAGCCGGAACTCCGTTCCTGTGCGTTCCTGCCCCCAAATAGCCCTGGTTGTACCACAGGTGAGACCTGAATGTCTGTAGAGATGCCACTAACAGTACCCCCAGGCCCCAGCACTGTAGGCCTCTTGCTTTAGGGGGAGCTTCTTCTTGCTGTTGTTGTCAAGTCGCAACCAACTTATGGCCACCCTTGCAGGGTTTTCAAGGGAAGAGACTTCAGAGGTGGTCTGCCACATAGCCTGCCTCTGTGTAGCCACTCTGCTGTTCCTTGGTGGTCTCCCGTCCAAATACTAACCAGGGCTGACCCTGCTTAGCTTCCAAGATTGGGCTATCCAGGTCAGGGGAAGTACAGCCCCATGTAAAACAGGCTAACTCCTCATTTTGAGTGGTAACTTCTTGCTAGAATTAAGTTACTGTGTAATGGAAACTTGGGTTTCGAGGACTGGGTATTGGTAAATTGGTATTATTGGACTGCTTGAGACGTTCAGTAGGCAAACGTTTATCCTCCCCTCTCCATATTTTATTTCTGCTTCTCATTCTATTTGACTCTCAGTATTGCCTCCTGAGTGTGTAGCAGTGCCTCACCACTTAGTCACAGATCTCTTATTACTAACGTACGGGTCACTGCCAATGTTCCCTCTAAGCTGTGGAGTCCCGTGAGCAAAAATTCTACTTTGTGAGCTACTGGCATTCAAGTTGGGAGTGAGCAATTTGGCTACTGCATACATTAGTTTGCTTTGGAGTCATCCTTCCTGAGCTAAGATGTGTGAGCTGGAGGCTAAAAAACTGTGAGCTAGCTCACACTAACTCGGCTTAGAGGGAACACTGGTCACTGCCTAGCAGGGCTGGTGCCGCGAACCCCGAGCTGGGGCATCCGTCTTGGTCCAGTACTTCTGGTGGGCCCACTGCTGATGCCTCCCACGCACACCTCCCCTGCCACCTGTCTGTACCTATGCTCCCAACTGCCCGGCGTCGTTGAGGAAAGGCGTGCATCTGGGTGCTGCAGAGTGGTGGCACTTCTGGTAGTAATGGCCAATGTTCCCTCAAAGCTATGGAGTCTTGTGAGCAAAAATTCTACTTTGTGAGCTACTGGCATCAAAGTTGTGAGCGAGCGATTTGGCTACTGCATAAATTAGTTTGCTCTGGAGCCATCCTTCCTGAGCTAAGACAAAAATGTGTGAGCAAGACGTTAAAAAACCGTGAGCTAGCTCACACTAACTCAGCTTAGAGGGAACGCTGGTAATGGCAGCAGCTGCATATACTGGCCAGTGCTGTCAGGGAAAAGGGTGTGCAGATGGGAAAGGCAACTGAGCATGGAGGGCTTGCAAGTGGGAGAGGGACACATGGGCAGGTGAGGGTCATCCAGGTGTGGGGGCGGAAAGGAGGGCATGGGCGGGGCCCTGGTGGTGGAGAGATGGGGACCCCTGGGCACCGTCTGCCCAGAGTCCCCCGAAACCTGGCCCTGGCCCTGCTGCCTAGATGTATAGATTTGTTTTCGGTGGGTTTTAGCTTCAAAACCTGCTTCTCACTAGACTAAGAGTGAGTGGAGAGAGGGTTGCTAACCTACCCTGGGCTCTTTTAGTGTGTGTTTGTGGGAACTATGGCTCAGTGGTAGGGCCACCTGCTTTGCATGCAGTGTAACCCCAGGACTCCCTCCCACCCCATTGCCAAGAGCCATGGGCCCTGCCGTTCCTTTTGATCACAGGACCTTGTGCAGCCAGAGGTACAGAGAGTCTCCAGCTTGTATCAAACCAGTGAATCAGGATCAGGATAATATGCAATTAGGGCCATCTCCTGGTGAGGCAGTCAGTTTCCCATGGGAAAGCTGTCACACACCCTAATCAAAGACTCGTTCCTGTGGCTCGAGGGATCCCACACGCACGGGCTAGAAAAACAGCACTCGGCATTTGCAGGACAACCACCCCAACATTCCTTTCCCATCAGGACTGGTCCCTTGGAAAGACAGATGTGCCCGGCAATTTCACCCAGTCCTTCGTCAGCAGAATAGATTCATCTGCTGCCCTGGTAGCATCCCTCTTGAAATAACCCAAGTACCTAGAAAATCCAGTTCCCGATCACTACCAAAAATGGGTGTGATACTTGACTACACAAAGACCCACTCTGAGCTTGCATTTTAGGCTCAGTTCTGCCCTGGGGCTGCCCCACCACCACTGTGGCAGCTGAAGACATAACCCCAAGACTCTTCCCCCACTCAGGCAAAGTCAAACACAGGGCTCCTTCCCTCACAGTTCCCTGCATCTCTCCCTTGATAGCTCAGCTGCCCCCATTTCCAATCAATCCCACATGGGCCTGCCTCCAGCTCTCTCACTGTCCTCCCCTTTCTTCCTTCACCCTTGGACTACGTGCCTCTTCTCTCCCCCTTCCTAAGCCTCAAAGCCCCATTCTGCACCTGCTCATCTGTCCAGTTTGGTGTGGTGGTTAGCAGCGCAGACTCTAATCTGGGAGAACCGGGTTGGATTCCCCACTCCTCCACACGCAGCTGCTGGCGTGGCCTTGGGTCCGTCACAAATTCTCTCAGAGCTGTTCTCTCAAAAGCAGTTCTCTCGGAGCTCTCTCAGCCCCACCTACCTCACAGGGTGTCTGTTGTGGGGAGAGGAAGGTAAAGGAGACTGTAAGCCGCTCTGAGACTCTGAGTGAAGGGCAGGTTATAAATCTCATCATCTCCTCCTCCTTCCTATTTTCATCCGCCACCTCAAGCCTGATGCCCCTCTCATCCCTCCATTGACTGTGCAAACATAACAGGTACTCTTTTTTGTGAGTATTTTTGTGTGTGCGTGTCTGTGCTTGTAAGCCTGGAAGTCATGGTGACTTCTGGCGACCCCTAGAGGGGTTTGGACGTTTTTCAGAGAGGTGGCTTGATAGCTTGCCTCTGCATCCTGAGCCCTGGTATTCCTTGGAGGTCTCCCTTCCAATTACTTGCCAGGGTCGGCCCTGCTTGGCTTCAGAGATCTGATGAGATTGGGCTTGCCTGAGCTATCCAGGTCAGGGCCGTAACATGAACTCTTGAGGCTACCACGGCTGGCACACCAGGGCTCCGTGGCAGAGCATCTGCTTTGTAGACAGAGAGTCCCAGTTTCCATCTCTGGCACCTCCAGTTAAAATGGCCAAGTAGTAAGAGATGTGAACGTGAGACCCTGGAGAGCGGTGGCCAAGTCAGAGTGGACAACATTGACTTTGATGGACTGATCGTCTGGCTCCGTGTTAAGGCAGCTTTGAGTGTTCATGCACATTCATGTATTGTGAGTCCCAACCAAGTACACAAGACAGCTGACAGCATCCTCTGCACTCTGAGTAATTTGTTAATTGAACAACACCTGCATCCGTAATTTAGACGCACAAGTTCTGCCTGGATAAACAACTAAAAAGAAACTTCTTGTGTCTAGGCATCCCATTTAAACCTGAATGTTGGGAAAACAGGGCAAGGTTTTCTTTCTGCATGTTGATCCTAGTTAGATTGAGGGCAAATGAATAGCAATTATCATGCCACAGTTAGTAATTTGGCCTCTTGGCTTTGCCAGTCCAATAAATAGATCATATCATTCAGTTTCCCAAGGAGGCCGCTGCTTAAACTAGTCAGCGTACTAATAACACATGCCACTAGGGGTCACTCTTGATTTCTTTCAGCTCCAGATTCCAAAAGACCTGCTGGCTGTATCCCAGGTCTGCAGCAGGTTAATAACCCACTTAGCAACAGCTAGGTCTTTAGCTTGGGGAATGCTGATTGGCAGAGCTTCCGCAGCCAAGAGATTGGATCCAGAAAATCTGGCAGTAAGATTTAATGCGAGGGCAGCAGACAATGATTCAGATCAATTTCATTTGCTGCTGTTTTGTTGCTTCCCCCCACACACCTGATTAATTTTCTGCAATTTTGGTCTCCAAACCTTGAATGCTAATTTTGCTGTAGTTCCAGCAAAATGGCACGGATGGTTTGCATGGAATAGATACAACCAAGTCTGGTTTGGAGAAAAAGTCTTCTCAGAAAAGTATATTCAGTAAGAAATGCTTGAGATTTGCAGTGACTTTCTATGCAGAGTTACACCCTTCTAAGGCCATTGGCATTAATGGATTTTGAAGGGTGTAACCGTCTTTAGGATTGCAAGGTCAATCTCTGAATGTCTAACATTTTTACCAACAACCCCCTTTTTAATGGCTGAAGAATATTTTTTTACAAGCTTCTGCTTTTAACGCAAAATAATTTTATTACAGCACAGCGCTGTTGCCCCTCTTCTTTGTTCTCACAAGGAATGAGAGAGGCCACGGCTAGTCCCAGAGAATGGCTCTGGGAGATGTGACCTTGAATGACCTTGTGTGATTAGGCAAAAGGCACCGATACCGTCCTGCTCCTCTCCACAGCCCAAACAAGAAGCAGCCTTTGCTCAGCCTGGTTAATTTAGGGCTCCGAAGCCTGGCATGTGTTTACCTCACAGCCTGTTCATTAGAAAGACATATGGAGAGCAAATTAGGGAACAGAAACAAGGGCATCCTCTCTCCCTGCACCTGGGACATTAATCCCCGAGATTTATCCCTTAGTGTTGCAGCTGTTGCCTTTGCTGGGGGTGCCGAAGGGCACCTTCAGCACACAAAAAGGATTCCAGAGGAATCCAGCTTCCAGAGCACAAACTGGCAAGACACGAGTGTGGTTTGCAAGGCCTTTGTGTCCCGGCTTCACACCCACCCTAGTGCATTTCATCTCAGGGCACGGGGGAAGGCCCATGTTGATGGTTCAGTCATCGAGAGTGGTTAGTGTTGGACTAGGATCTGGGAGACCCAGGGTTAGATTCCCCCACGCTGCCAGGCAATGTTCCCTCTAAGCTGTGGAGTCAGTTTGCTTTGGAGCCATCCTTCCTGAGCGAAGACAAAAATGTGTGAGCCGGAGGCTAAAAACTGAGCTAGCTTGCACTAACTCAGCTTAGAGGGACCACTACTGCCAGGGATGCCTGCTGTGTGTCACTGGGCTTGCCACCAGTGTTCCCTCTAAGCTGAGTTAGTGTGAGGTAGCTCACAGTTTTTTAGCCTCTGGCTCACACATTTTTAGCTTCCAGCTCACACATTTCTTAGCCGCCGGCTCACACATTTTCAGAAAGGATGGCTCCAAAGCAAACGAATGTATGCAGTACCCAAATCGCTGGCTCACAACTTTGATGCCAGTAACTTTTGCTCACAAGACTCCACAGTTTAGAGGGAGGATTGCTCACACACTCTCCGCCTAACCTAATTCTTGGGGCTGTTGTTTTGAGGGGAGAGCAATATTGTCAGCTGCACTGGGAAGAAAAGTGGGGTATGCAGATCGAAGTATTGAGGGGTGGAGAAGATATACCTGGAGCATACACGAGTGATTCAGAAAGGCAGAAGGGCTCCCCGTTCCAGCAAGGATTACCGTTGCATTTTTACTTTCCCTTTCCTCCAAAAGAGCTCAAGATTTCCTTATCCTCACAACAACCCTGTGAGGTAGAGTAGGCTGAGACAGAATGACTGACCCATGCCCCCCCCCCAGCAGAGTAGGGATTTTGAGATCTCCCCGGTCCTAATCTGACACTAGACACCCTCATGATTCTTGTGGTTCTTGTCCAGCTGCAATGTGCTGGAAGAAGGAACATTTTGGACAGTGGTGTGAAGGCAGAGGCTGCTGGCTGAGCGAGTGAATAGCTCTGAGTGTTGCAAAGAGCATTCCGGGAAATCCTGGGGAGATCACCAGGGCTCCTTGATTAGGTAAGTCGTGGGAAACAACAAGGCAGAAGACATTCTTGGCGGTGGAATGTGCCATCCAGTCTCAACCAACTTACGGCAACCCTGTAGGCTTTCCAAGGCAAGAGATGTAACGATGAACAGAGGTGGTTTGCCATTGCCTTCCTCTGCACAGCAACCTTGGGCTTGCTTGGAGGTCTCCCGTCCAAGTACTAACCAGGGCTGGCCCTGCTTAGCTGCAGAGATCTGACAAGATCGGGCTAGCCATGCCATCCGGGTCGGAGCAGAAGACACCTGTAGGGCAAGCGGTGCTGGGCGCATTTTATAGCACACTTCTGGTCCATGCAGAGCAGTGTCCAGGCTACCCCTTATGTGCTTTCCACGTGGAGCTGCCTTATACAGGAGCCACGGGTCTACCACAGCCAGTGTTGTCTGCTCTGATCGGCAGTGCCTCTCCAGAGCCTCAGGCAGAGGCCTTTTCCCATCACCTACGACTTGATCCTTTTTAACTGGAGATGTCAGAGATTGAACCAGGGACCCTTTTGCTTGCCAAGCCCATTGCTCGACCGCAGAGTCACAGGCCCAGTGTTCCCTCTAAGCTGAGTTAGTGTGAGCTGGCTCACAGTTTTTTAGCCTCCGGCTCACACATTGTTGCCTTCGCTCAGGAAAGGAGGGCTCCAGCGCAAACTAATCTATGCAATGGCCAAATCGCTCGCTCACAGCTTTAATGCCAGCAGCTCACAAAGTAGAATTTTTGCTCACAAGTCTCCACAGCTTAGAGGGAGCATTGGTCACAGCCCCTCCCTAAATGTTCTTCTTTACATTTAGAGGGTATTCCAGGCAGATACATGTACTTCTTTACATTTAGAGGGTATCCCAGGCAGATACGGAAGGGCCCATCAGCAGACAACTCCATGGGAAAGGCTCCCTGAGGGCAGGAAGGTGGGAACACCGGGGCAAGGGTGAATGACGTCATCACCACGCATTCTTTTCTGAAGAGCAATTACCCTAATTCCATATACATATATGGTGATAACTAATAACCTCTTAGGTACGATTACACTTATTTCTCTTTTTCAAAAGACACTACTGCTTGGGAAGAAAGGAGGGGGAGAGGACTCCAAAGCAGTCTCTTCTCCCAACACATCCAGCAGATGGCAGTCCTTCTACAACTATGCACGTACAGAAATTAATCCTCCATGAATCTTCACACACAGAGGTAGAACTACAGGATCTTTAGTCTCAGGTTGCCGACGTCTACATCAGTATCAGCCAGCGCCTTAGGACTGCTCGGAGGGCTCCAAAAATCTCTATGCAAAAAGCACCACTGTGCAGAAATTATAAGGGGCTGCGTGTAAATGCATCACATGTGACAAATGCACACGTATGTGTATCAAAATACACCTACCAACATTCATGCGCTTTCCCATGTGGGCATTGCTAAGGCTGGAAAGTCTAAGAGAGCATAACACAGGGGCCTGCCAATTTGGGAAACAGATAGTGGCTTGTGAACAAAAACTGGCATTTCATTCCAAATTTTTTCGTGGGACTCTACAGTCATGGGGCAGGAGGGCTGAACCACGGGGAGCTGCTTCTGTGCTCTGTGTGGCCAAGGCAAGAGGCTCAAGGTAAACCCTCCAGGCCCCTTCGTGCATGATCATATACTTACGGCACCGGACTCCATTTCAGGGCACACGCACACCTGTTTGGGCTGTGCCCTACATTGTAGGCAGCTGCGCAGTTCTCTCCGGAGTTGGCAGCTTGTAAGGCCACCGTCAGTCAAGGTAAAATGCCGAAGCCGGGCATTCACTCCACAGGATCCTGAAAGAGGAGTTCAAAAACTGAGGAAGAGGCTTTTTTAAACTCATTTCCACGATGCTACCTGTGGCGCCATTCTCCTACAGCGCTACTCGGGAGTCAGTCTCACCGCGTCCAGGCCCACTGACTTACACCTAAGCAACGCCGCCTGGGAAGCCAGGCGATTGTCCTTACAAGCCGCTCCGCCAGGGGCGCACAACCGCAGCCTGTCGCCCCCCAACGCCGGGCGCGCTTCGCCTCTCAGCCGGCCAATGCAGAGCTTCGTCGGGTCTCCTCCGCGGCTAGTGGGAGAACGCGGCTCCGGGGGTGGGCCGGGGTTGTGACGTCACGAGGCGGGGCGGGGCCAAGGCTCTCCCTATAAAAGCCGGCCGACCCGCCTCCCGCTCCGCACAGCGAGCGCTTGTAAGGAGCAGCCTTCGGGAGCCAGGTGGGAAGAAGCTGGCGCGGGTTCGGGGCATTGGGCAGAGCCGGCCGTCGAGGCTATGGATTTATTGAGGACTATCGCCTACCAGCCAGGCAGCACCGGGGCCGCCGGCGGGGGCAGCGGCAAGATGGGGGAGCAGGCGCTGGGCAAAGCCTGCAGCGGGGAGTCTCGGAGGAAGAAGGCGGCGGCGGCGGACGCGGAGCAGCAGCATCACCACCACCCGCACTCGGCCGCCGAGGTCTCCCGGATTATTATCGACCCCACCACGGGAAGGCGGTATTGCCGCGGCAAGGTGCTGGGAAAGGTAAAAACGCCCGGCGGTGGAGTCGCTTCGGGGGGCCCGGGGCGTGGATCTCCTCCCGAGAGCGCGGGGCGAAGAGGAGCAGCCGGAGACCCCCCCCCCTCTGCTTGCTGCCCTTTCCCCTCTTTGGCCTGTCTCGCTTCGCTTTTGGTTCTTCTCCCGCTCCCGTCGTCGTCGTCTTTCGTCTGTTGTGCTCCAGACCACCTCCGAGCACGAGGCTCCCAGCCCTCCACACACACACACACAAAGCCTCTCTCGCTTTCGAGCTCTTCCGTGGTCTCTGGGCTAGGATCCCCCCCCCCCCCCCCCCCCCCCCAACATACGACACGCCCCCCCCTTCTTTCGTTGATCCGTCTCCTCCTTGGATCGCGGATTCACTGAAGGGAACACACGGCTGTATCTGCCTTCCTGTATCATTAAGCCGTCGGTTGCTAGTCTGGAAAGGGCTGCTTAACAGACCTTGTTCCGGTGTGACAAATGCACGCACGCCTCCCTTTCCAGAACCTCACGGCAGGCAACTTCTGTCCGTGGCATGCCCCCGGGGCAGCGTGCATGTCCCACGCATAGGGGACTTGCAGCTGCCTCTGCGTGGATTCAGTTCAGTGCCCGCCTGGCTGCTGCGGGTGTCCGGCGCTTTAAATTGTGCATCTTGACCCGGCCATTTGCTGGGACCGGCACCGCTTTAAATTGTCGATAGCCGTGCTGGTGGCTGCTTTGGCATGCAAGGGCCGTGTCTGCCTGGACAGGACGCTGGCGGTGGGTTAGCACCACTAGTATATACTCTGCCTAGCCTTTGGTGAATATTCCGGTTCCCCCTCCCCCTCAAAGGACTTTGGCTCTCCCTGTGGTGCTCTCTGTTGCGCACAGATCCCAGCTCACTTGCAAAGGAGAAGGGGGGGGGGTTGAATCTCTTAGCTGTCACATCTAATGATACGCTTTCTCCCATGGGCTTGTCTCTCCAGGGTGGCTTTGCAAAGTGTTACGAGATGACAGACCTGACCACGAACAAAGTCTACGCTGCCAAGATCATTCCTCACAGCCGAGTGGCCAAGCCTCATCAAAGAGAGAAGGTGCGTGCCTCCCTCGATGACGCCGCACTCAGGAATCTCTTATGTGCTTGGGTGGCCCTGCCCTCTTCCTGCAGTGGCTTACTCATGTGTAAGCCCTGTCCTTTTTCCCACGGTGGCGGAGCCATACCTGCGAGTCACCCTTTCTTGGTTTCTTTGTGACCCTTTCCCCCCCCCTTTTTCCCTCCAGATCGATAAAGAAATTGAGCTGCACAGGTTGCTCAATCACAGGCATATTGTGCAGTTCTACCATTACTTTGAAGACAAAGAGAACATTTACATTCTCCTGGAGTACTGCAGTCGAAGGGTGAGCATGCCTCCCTGGGGAGAAATCCGGTATTCACTTGCATGGAATTGGCAGCTAACTTAAAATGTATGGCGGGTGTGCAAGGTATCTTCTGCAACTGCTTTGAGCAGTTCTTATTCCTTCCCCCTTCGTCCCAGTTTTTAACACATGCCAAATCTTGCGTCTGGCTTTAGTTGGGTGACCTTGGTTTCCTTTCCCCCATCAGTCTATGGCTCACATCTTGAAAGCCAGGAAGGTATTGACGGCGCCAGAAGTGCGATACTACCTCAGGCAGATTGTGTTGGGATTGAAATACCTTCACGAGCAAGAGATCTTGCACAGAGATCTAAAGCTAGGTGAGTGGGTTGCCCTTGCTAAGATACACTGGGCTTGTGTTAAAAGCTATTAGGCACTGGAAGTGTGTTTTTTCATACTGCTGTTAAACTTATACTCAGGGATTAATTGATAGGATCAGTTATCTTGCAATATAGTCTTGGAATGCTTGAGTAATAGCGCTAAGTAGATTTCTTTATTAAATGAATATCTTCTGGCTTCCTTTGGGCGTGAGTCAGCACTTGTCTAGCACATCATTACGTTGACTGGGCACTCAACTGGCTTCCTCCCCCTTGTTCCCACAGGTAACTTCTTCATTAATGATGCTATGGAATTGAAAGTAGGTGACTTTGGACTGGCAGCCAGGCTTGAACCTATGGAGCACAGAAGGCGGTAAGGATCTGAGAGAATCTTTGCCATGACCTGAAAATGACTACTTTCACCATCATGTGCCTTCAAGGCCACAGTGGGATTGTTTTGGGGATTCCTAGTTTTATATGATGGTGAGCAGTGTTCCCTCTAAGCTGAGTTAGTGTGAGCCAGCTCAGTTTTTTAGCCTCTAGCTCACACATTTTTGTCTTAGCTCAGGAAGGATGGCTCCAGAACAAACTAATGTATGCAGCAGCCACATCGCTCACTCACAACTTTAATGCCAGGAGCTCAGAAAGTAGAATTTTTGCTCACAAGACTCCACAGCTTAGAGGGAACGTTGGTGGTGAGATAGAAGCATTGTTGACAACATCACTTGGGCCTCTTTTCAGTAACTGAGTAGGCCAGTTCATGAACACACATGAAGCTGCCTTATACCAGTGATCCATCAAAGTATTGTCTACACAGACTGGCAGTAGCTCTCCAGGGTCTCAGGCTGAGGTCTTTCACATCACCTATTACCTCATTTGTTTTAAACTGGAGGTGCCAGGCATTGAACCTGAGACCTTCTGGGTGCCAAGCAGATGTTTTGCCACTGAGTCGCAGCTCCCTCCAGATATGTCCTGTCTTTTACACATGAACAATCCCAATGGTTTTTAGGCCCACCTTCCTTTTTACCAGGTTACTGCATGAACTGAGTAGTAACATCGAACTGTCAGTGAATTGTCATAATGGACCACTGATGATGAGTCTTCTTCAGTAACAGCAGGTCAATCGCTGGTTGGGTACTGTTGAGATCATGCCTGTGGTTGAGGCCTGCTGGAATGGGAGTAAAGGGCCAGTGTGGAAACCTGCCCAGTACTTAACTTCTTAGCTAATTGGTCTAATTTCTTCCCTAGTAATAGGCAAATTCACTTCTAGAGGCACACATTTCATTGAAATCTATTGTAAATATGTTAAAAGTGACTGGGAAAGGTGGCCACAGCAAGTCTTGGAAGTTTAACTCCTAGCTAATTTTTGTTTTCCCCCCCAGAACGATCTGTGGCACACCAAATTACCTTTCTCCAGAAGTCCTGAACAAACAAGGGCATGGCTGTGAATCGGATATATGGGCCTTGGGCTGCGTCATGTAAGTATCAGGAATATTTATGGCCTTCCATGCAAATACACAAAGAGATTACTAACTGGTCTGTGTGTACATGTGAACGCAAAACTCTCACAAAGCTAACTTTGTGACCTGTGAGAATTGAATTGAACTGTCCAAAAGTGCTTATTTTACACAACTTGTTTTGCTCGTTCTGGTTATGAGAGGGCAGCAATTGATACCATGTAGTGAAGTTCAGCCTTTAGTCCACCAGAAACACCTGTTGATATGTCACAAGGTATAAGCTATGCTGGTTTATGCTTTTAGAACTTTGGTTCATCCAACCCAGCAGTAGCTCTTGAGTGTTCTGGGTCCTCTTCAGATGCATTTACCAGTGAGCTTTAACTGGAGGTGGCAGAAATGGATCCTGGGAGCAATGTACTCCATTACTGAGCTATGAGCCTTGCTGTATCTGCTTTCCCTTCCTGCAGCCACACGAGCTACAATTTGCTGACAGTTGAATTCTTGCCAAGTTACCAAACTTGTGTTTCTTCTGCATAAACAGAATGGTGTAAACACAGCCTTGGCTCACCTTCCTGTTGCAACTTTGGGAATCCATGCTGTCTAGAGAGTGAATGAGCTGAAGGGGAAACTGCTTAAACATAGAGATTTATTCTCTGCCAAGATAGAAATAACAAGACTGGGCCCCCCTCTTTTTCTCAACAGGTATACAATGCTATTGGGAAGACCTCCATTTGAAACCACTAATCTAAAGGAAACCTACAGGTGTATCAGGGAAGCAAGATATTCGTTGCCATCATCATTGATGCCCCCAGCGAAGCATTTGATTACAAGCATGTTGTCAAAAAACCCTGAGGACCGTCCAAGTTTAGATGACATTGTTCGGCATGACTTCTTCTTGCTGGTTAGTAGCCACCTTGGGGGTTTTTTTTGGGTGGTTCCTTCTGTTCTGAGTGCAGGTGCCAATCTGTTGGACAACCGTCTTTGTGCATCTTGTTTCCTCAGGGCTTCACCCCAGAGAGGCTTCCAGCGAGCTGTTGTCACACAGTTCCTGACTTCAATTTGTCAAGCCCGGCCAAGAATTTCTTCAAGAAGGCAGCGGCAGCTCTCTTTGGGGGCAAGAAGGAAAAAGCAAGATACTTTGACACACACAGTAAGCATCTTACTTATGTACAGGTTGTTGCACACCCAGTTCCAGCTTCCTGAGTGGTTCTGGAAGGTCACAAAGTGTAGCTGGCTTTACTTCTAGATATGTACAAATACCAATTTATGAAAATGTATGCTCTTGCTTCCAAAGAGCTTACATGCTTGGGACAGACATGTCCAAAAGCTCTTGTGTAAAAGTTTTAAACACCTATTGGGTAATTCCATCAATCTCGTATGCCATCTTATTATTGGAGAAACAGGACTTTCTGTTTACAACCAACTCCTTCATTAGTGGTTTCTTGGTATAATGGCATGTTCTGCCCTTTGAGACTGGAAACTGGGTAGGGACTAACAAGCAAAACTGCAGGAAAAACAATGTGTCCTGGCAAGGAAAACACTGCAGGATGTTTCCTAATGTTGTAATTAATTTCTGGGTGTAGTAACGGCTGTGTTTTTTTCCTGTGTCTTCCCAGATCGATCGGCTAAAGAAGACGAAGAAATATACAAACTTCGGCATGACTTGAAAAAGACCTCTATAACCCAGCAGCCCCCAAAGCATAGACCAGAGGAGGTATGTATAATTACTACACAGATCTGTCGATGAATTTCTAGGGTTTTCTAATGTTATTAGAAAACTAGTAGCTAGCAGATACTTATATGCCTAGAGCTCTGGACATTTTGAGAACACCTGGTGCCATCTCTGTTCCTATTTGTATGGGATTCTGTCGACCCCAGGACTCATAAATCAGATTGTCTAGCATCTGCTTCACAAAGTGTAATCCTTTGAGATGCTGCTGGGCACTACTCATTCTTGAATCTTTTAAAAAAAAATTCTGGATGAACTTGTGTTATGGAAGACTTGGTGTTTGCAGACTATGTCTGCAAGCCCTTTTCCTGCCTTCCTGTAGTGATACATGGAAACCCGGATTGAGCAGTGATGGAATAATGAAGTAGTGGTGAAGTTGGCCAGAAATGCAAAAGAGATTACTTTAGCTATAAAAATAACTTAAAAACATAAGAAGAGCCCTGCTGGATCAGACCAATGGTCCATCTAGTTCAGCATCCTGTCTCACACAATGGCCAACCAGTTCCTCTGGAGGGACAACAACAGTACTTACTTAGTATTTGATTGCCCAAGAATGAAATTCAGGTGGAAGCTATGAAGATTTTGATAGGACTGATTCTCATGGTGCTTCAGGTTTTTTCAGGGAAGATTTTCAAGGCAGGCCTGGCCCACTGGTGTCACTCCAGTCTAGACAATCCGAGGATCACTGATGTGGTGTCTTGGGATGGGGGAAGACAACAGGCTTGTGTGTAAGAGTGTGCACTCTGCATAGTTTACATGGTTTAGAAAATACAAGCCTGAGCTGAACTCCCAAATGGTGCCATGGCAGGGCTTTGCTAGTAAGGAACGACTGATAGGCCACCTTCAGAACCAAAGATGCAGCATGTTTTTTAGATATCTTGTTCGGACCATCACACAATGTCCTCTTCCTTTCAGGAGAGCCAACCTTCCAACATCCCTGTAGCCAAACCCGGCATGCTAACAGAGACCAAACAGATAGGAGATGCTATCCGAATGATAGTCCGAGGAACGTTGGGCAGCTGCAGCAGCAGCAGTGAATGTAAGTGTTACGAATCTTTCCTACCGTATCAATGGCTTCTGGCTTGAAACCAAAGTATAAAATCTTAGTAAGGTGCAGGGCCTCTTGAGTTCAAACTGGCATGAACAGATCTGTCAGAACTCCCATGGGTCCCTTGAAATTATTCTGAGTGTGCTGAGAATTCTGGTAAATGCCTAGATTCTTCTCCCCCCCCCCAAAAAAAAGTAAACTAGTTTATTTATTGTTCCTTGTCCCAAGGGATCTCTATAATATTGATATCCCATGTTTTGAACAAGCCATAAGAACAAGCTGAAGAATGGTACAGAGATGATAGACTTGTTCATCAGTTTGCTGAGAAACCTATATAACACTTTCTCCCTCTCCTCTCCCAAAGGCCTTGAAGATAGTACTATGGGGACTGTAGCTGATACCGTTGCGAGAGTCCTGCGTGGATGTCTAGAGAACATGCCTGAATCGGATCATATTCCCAAAGAACAGCTGACTGCCTCTTTCCAATGGGTCACAAAATGGGTGGACTATTCCAACAAATATGGCTTTGGTTATCAGTTGTCGGACCACACTGTGGGTGTCCTCTTCAACAATGGTGCACACATGAGCCTCCTCCCAGACAAGAAGTGAGTGGCTGGTTGATAAGGTGATGCAATTGTCCTGTTGCATTTTTGCACAGCTCTAGCTAAACTTTACCTTTTCTTCTTGGCTTTTGTCTGTAGAACAGTCCATTACTATGCAGAGCTCGGCCAGTGTTCAGTTTTTTCTGCTCCTGATGCTCCTGAACAGTTCATCAGTCAAGTGACTGTTCTGAAGTACTTTTCTCATTACATGGAGGAAAACCTCATGGATGTGAGTACTGTGGGTGGAGGACTTTAAACTTCTAGATTATTTGAGTGATACCTGTTCTAAACTGAGCTGTGTGCACTCTTCCAGGGAGGGGACTTGCCCAGTGTGACAGATGTCCGCAGACCTCGGCTTTACCTCCTGCAGTGGTTGAAATCTGATAAGGCACTGATGATGCTTTTCAATGATGGCACCTTCCAGGTAAACTACTTCTTTCACTTGCTCATCCCTCCCACCCACCCCAAGATCTTGAGCATACCCATGAGGTTGCCGAATACTGAATCAGACCCTTGGTCCGTCAAAGTTAAATGGCATCTGTCTACTCAGACTGGCAGTAGTTTCACTGGAGATGTGGGGGATTGAACCTGCTTCTGCATGCCAAGTAGATGCACTGCCACTGGGCCACAGCCCTTTCCACACTTTATGTAGAATCGGTGATCTAACTTGTAGAACACGGAGTACCATGTCTCAGTGTATGGACAGTGAAAGGAATGTGTTGCTACAGGACATTGTGATGGGAATTACTGTTGAATGGCTTTATACTAGTTTACACAAGTCCATGAAGGATGAATTCTTGAAGGCTAGAAGTATAGTTTTCAGATGCTGTGGATTTAAGAGAATTGACTTCACAATCATGCTTGGGGATTTGTCCTGCTACTGTATAGTAGCCGTAAATGGGTTCCTTGGTATATTATACTTGGGTGAATAAAATTGACTTTCTCTAGAAATAGAAATGATAGTGTTTGCATGTAATCATTGTGGACTGGTTGATGAACCCAGGGAATAGCAATAGCAAGACATCTCTGGCACTAGGATCCAGGAGTCCTCTTGGCAATACAAATTCATCTCTCTGGGCTTTGGTTTCATTTTCCATCCGCAGCCCATGTTTAAGAATTTAGGACTATGGCAACCAAACAGCATGGACACCTCTGAGGTGCCATGAAAATATTGTTTTATTCAGTAAGTGTGCTCTTAAAAAAAAAAGCTTGGATGGTTTTTTTTATGGACCAGTTCTACATATTGATTATGAAACTTCTATTTTGATCAATGGGCCTTAATTCTGAATGCATGCATAAATTGCCTGCTCTGGCCTTCTAGTAAGATGTATGTATAAGTGGGAGTTTCTGAGTAGGTATAGTTCTGTAGTGCTTGTCAGATACATAACTGATAGCTTTTGATTATGCACCTGGACTGTATAAATGCTGCTCTAGTTGCAAATCACAATATGCTGACTGTTCCACAGCAACCAGTTCATACATATTCTTGTTGAGGAAGTGTTTATAAAAATTGGAAATGTGACTTAATTGATGCCATTTAAATTTGTTGTCTTGGTGAGTTGATCCTATCTGAACAAAGGACCCAGTAGTACAGTTTGTAAGCTCTATGCCTATGAAACAGTAACAGATGCATTGGTTCAAGTTCCTTGATGAAATCCTCAACTTGTGTTAAGCCTCAGCTTGTATTAAGCCACAACTCTTACATCCTTGGCAGGTGAACTTCTACCACGATCACACAAAGATCATAATTTGCAACCAAAGTGAGGAGTACCTGCTTACCTACATCAATGAAGATCGGATATCGACGACTTTTCGCTTGACGACTCTTCTGATGTCTGGGTGCTCACTGGAGCTAAAGCATCGAATGGAATATGCGTTGAATATGCTGTTGCAAAGGTGTAATTAAAAGAACTCTTCTAAAATCAAAAGAACTTCTCTTGCTGAAGTCTACCAATGGAGGCAGTTGGGAAGACCAGTATGTTGACGGAGGAGGAGGAGGGGACTGGTACGAACCACTATTTCGTCTTGCGTGCTGGGCTGGGACCAGACATGAAGCCTGCATTCTGCTTTGTTGGATTAATGGTGTGACAAGGAATTCTTTGGAATGTAGCTTTCCTTGCCTTGAAAGATATGAGTAGAACTTGAAGCTCTGCAGTGAACAGTTCTGATGGAGGACTCTAAACTGTGAATAACACTTGAGGATCTGGGAGGGAGGGAAGCACTCGATGTTGTGGAATAATTGTTAAGGGGCAGTTCTGTGACTGCTTAACTGTGAACTATGGCCATACTTTTTTTTTCTTATTTTCTTCCAAGAACTGATCACACTTGTGGCTGGCAAAGTGCATTCCTTGTTAATAATTTTTTAATTTATTACAGCCCAAAGTGGAAGTATTTATTATATACACACACATTTTTTTTGCAACTGTGATTTTAAGAAAACATTTGTTGGCAATAAAGAGTGGGGGGGACTTGAACCAATGACTTCAATGTGCCTTTTTTCTATTGCACATACGTGTACCAGCTAGAGTTGAAGCTAGTGTCCTGGGCTGCTACTATACATGTTGGACTGGTGGTAATAGTGCCTTGCTCTGTCTTGGGTTTCAACATGGCAGTTAGTAGGGTTTCTTGCAATCTAGCCATGTGTAGAATAATACAAACATAGTAGCCTCTCTTGTAGACTACTTGCCATATCAACTTGACATGCAAGCAGTAAAATAGGTGACTTCTCAGAAAATCTGATTAGCTCAGTCACTCTAATATTTGCTTCCCTGTTACACAGCATTTTAAGCATAAATAGAAAGACTGAAAACCACACTGGCAGTGACTTCACAGTATACAATAATTTCAGGTATGCTGCTTGGAACTTGTAGTTCCTTCATGCTAGAAACACTGTCATGAAGAAAGTTGATGGTTTCCAGACTCAAAAGTTGTGGGCACAATATCTCTGGGCAATGTTTTCTTGCTTAGGTACTGCTACATGATTTAAGAGTTCTTGGCAGCATGAGAACTATCCAGATAGCCAATTTCAATAGGAGATATTACTATATCTTCAAAGGTTAAGAAAGGATCCTGGGAAACATTCTGAATTTGTAGCTATTTGCTGGAGCTTTAGAACACAGCATCTCCTAAGAATCCCATCTGCCATTGGAATAGTTCCAGCTTTCCTACTCCAGTAGAGAAAGATGTGAATTTCCCCTCACCCTCTGTCTTTGGGTTTATGCTGAAGCTGAGGTTTTCTTCCAATACAATGCAGGCAGTCACTGTAGTGGACATTTGCACTTGTCCTTAGAAGATGCTTGAGTTTCTTCTCATTGAATAACACCAGAAGAAAATCTACCTTTGCTTGCTAGTGTACTACTTCACTGTAGCAAGATACTGAATGTTCAGAGGTACTCCAGAATTTCTAAACATCATGCTGTAGATCTACTCATTGTAGATCTTGCAAAATTATTCACATGCGGCTGCTGTATCAGCCTCAGGTAGAAGCCTAGTTACATTGCCACTTCTAGTGCTTAGTACAGCTAAGGGTGTGCAGAAGTTTTCTGAAGCCCTTCATTGATCATGACTGTGTCATGTGCTACTGTGCCTTCATGAGGGAATATGCTAGTTTACATAAACACAAGTATTTGCATATTGCCATAAGTCTCCGTTAAATAAGAGTGCCATTCATATTAGTCACACGGAACTACCTTATCCTGAGTCAGGCCATTCGTCTATCAAGGTCAGTATTCTCAGTGTTGATTGGCAAAAGGTGTGGTTGAAGGTGAGAGTAAGCCAATACTCCAGCCAAGTCTCTCAGTTGGTTTTTTCTTTTGGACATAGACCTTAGAAAGAGGCCAGGAGGTTATTGCAGTTCATGAAGCTTACGGGGAACTCTCTGATATAATAGTTGCCACAAGACCCACCAGTGGGTTTTTGGTAGAACTTTCCTTTTTAAGTTTCCTTCCTCTTTATCCCCCTCTCTATTCACACTACATCCTCGCTATGCCCTACTACCTTCATATTACTTCCTTTCCCTTTTGAGCTAATCTGTTCTCCGTCCCTTACAACAGGGACTTTCATGAAGATAAATGAAATAAATTGAAATAAATATCAGAGGAGAATGGATGATTTGCAGTGCAATTCTAAACTATTTAATTGACCTGAGTAGGATTCTGAGTAGACTTGCTTAGGATGACACTGGTAAACCCCCACCATCACCCCGTTTCAGCAATAGAAATCTACCACATCCTGTTTGCACCTGCCCCAGCCAGAATACCTTGATAAACATCCAAAACAAAATTCTTGTGCTCAGGCTTTTGGGCTCCCTGGTTTTGGCTTCATCCAGATTCCATCACTGGAGTCCCTGATCCCACAGGTACTTACTTGCAGATAGTAATTAAGAGTATCTGCCATAATTTATTTCAATGGAGTCAATACTAGTAAGGTTGAGCAATGATCAAGATGGGTAGCCGTGTTAGTCTGCCTGTAGCAGCTGAAAAGAGCAAGAGTCCAGTAGCACCTTTTTGTTGTTGTTCAGTCGCACAGTCGAGTCCGACTCTTCGCGACTCCATGGACCAGATCCCGCCAGGCCCACCTGTCTTCCGCCGTCCTCTGAAGTTTGCTCAATTTCATGTTCGTTGTATCTATGACACTGTCTAACCATCTCATCCTTTGCCATCCCTGTCTTCTTTGACCTTCAATCTTTCCCAGCATCAGGGTCTTCTCCAGTGAGTGCTCCCTTCTCATTTGGTGGCCAAAGTATTTGAGCTTCAGTTTCATTATCTGGCCTTCCAGGGAACAGTCAGGGTTGATTTCTTTTAGGATTGACTGATTTGATCTTCTTGCAGTCCAAGGGACTCTCAAGAGTCTTCTCCAGCACCATAGTTCAAAAGAATCTATTCTTCGGTGCTCGGCCTTCCTTATAGTCCAACTCTCGCAGCCATACATGGCTACTGGGAATACCATTGCTTTGACCATACGGACTTTTGTTGGCAGGGTGATGACTTTTTATCATGCTGTTTAGGTTTGCCATCGCTTTCCTCCCAAGGAGCAGGCGTCTTTTAATTTCATGGCTGCTGTCACAGTCTGTGGTGAGCTGGGATCCCAGGAATGTGAAGTCTGTCACTACTTCCACGACTTCCCCTTCTATTTGCCAAGGAGTGATGGGGCCGGATGCCATGGTCTTAGTTTTTTTGATGTTGAGCTTCAATCCCACTTTTGCGCTCTCCTCTTTTAACCTAAACAAAGAGGCTCTTAAGGTCCTCTTCACTTTCTGCCATTAGAGTGGTATTGTCTGCATATCTGAGGTTGTTTATCTTTTTCCCAGCAATCTTAATTCCCCCTCATGGATCACTGCCTTGTCGTGGCGAGGGGGCTTGCATGGTTCGATGAGGCTGTGGACTATGCCGTGGAGGGCCACCCAAGATGGACAGGCCACAGCAGAGAACTCAGACCAAGCGTGATCCCCTGGAGATGGAAATGGCAACCCACTCCAGTATTTTTGCCAAAAAAAACCCCATGGACAGTATCAAAGTAGCACCTTAAAGAATAACAAAATTTGTGGCAGAGGATAAGCTTCCGTGTGTCACTGCTCAGTTCTTCAGAAGGCTGAGCAATGTTATTTTCTCTCCTCCTCACTAGTCCCTCCTTGGCGCCCACTCACTTCTCTGAACGTTCCAAAATTGCTTGCAGGCTCAGCAAAATTATGGACCCTGGTTTAGAGTATAAGATATTTCTTCCTTGTCCATGCAATGCTGGTGCAGAGTTCCTCTGCTCTGGCCAAATCTAGCCTGTTGCTTTCTCTGTGACAGATACTTTCATTCAGGTTTGCTGTGGGAAGCTGCCGTTTCTTATAATTTTTGCTGCACAGATCACATTCTTCTGTGGACCCCTCCCTCCATGGAGTTCATGGCAGCATACGTGGGGCTCCCCTCCTCCATTTGATTCTCACCATGACTCTGACGTCAGGTAGACTGAGAGAGAGGCCTTTCGATATGGGGCTTTAAAACCAGGTTGCCCTACTCCAGTGGAGCTATACCACACTGACCTTGTAGATAAGTTGGTAAGCTTTCTTCCTTTTGGCGCATTTTACACCAATAAGGGAAATGCAGGGAAATTAAAGGGAAGGAGTCTTGGGGAAAGCATCTTTCAGAGCTCATTAATGCAATTAAGCCTGTGCCTGGAAAGGGGCACAAATGCCTGCTTTTGATCCTGGGTACTAAGAACAAAGTATGTAGGCAAAATGTTTTCCAAAGAATGGTGGATCACGCCACATTCTTATGTGGAACACCATGTACCCTTTCTTGCCTAAGTGCGTAACTTCTGCAATTGTGAACAGGGAAAAATAGCCTTAATTATAACTTGTGTGCATGTATTCTCCCTTTTGTATGGTAGAAAGGCCATGACTTCCTCTATTGCAGCATAATTGTTAAAAGTTAATAAGAAATGGTATAATTACTTTGCAAGGAACTAGGGTGGGCATCTGTTTCAGAATAAAAACAGCATGTGGTGTTTGTATATTGGGCGGGGGAGGGGAATAGTACTCAGATTCTTAGCACAGCTGGGTTGATTTTGTAATCCATTTATTTTACATATTTAGGTCCTGCTTTTCCAAAGGTGGTCTCTCTTGCACTCTGTATATGTATATACATCAAGTTGCAATCAACTTATGGCAATACCAGCAAGGGGCTTTTCAAGGCAAGTACGAAGAGGTAGTTTGCCATTGCCTTCCTCTTAAAAGACTTCCTTGGTGGATCCCCCATCCAAAGTACCAAACGTGTTGGTTTCCAAGATCTGATAACCTCAGGCTATATCATACCATTCTACATCCCACCCTGTACTCTACAACAATAATTTACACCTAAACATATATTGTATGTGTGAGATTCAGCATATCTGTTTGATTCTAGTGGCTGAAGAAAGCTTTTAAAAAAACACACACTTTGTTACTGGAGGTAGGAACTCCATTGCTTTCATGAAATATCCTCAACAGATCTCTTGGAGGGAGACGATATAATTATTTCAATGTGTTAATCAGTTATTCAGTTTAAAGAAACATAGTCAATGACAAACCACTTTGATTAGCAGGGATTCCTACTAAGACAGGATGTACTAACACTTACAAACACAGAGAAAATACCTGCAGCCCACAGGGAGCTTTGAGCTAAATAGCTGCTTGTAAAATCCAATTCTAACTTTTCTGGCTTGCTAGAGATGTGATCTTGAGCCCATAATCCGTCGCTTCCTGTCTGCTTTCATGCTTTTTATGCCTTATTAACTTCCGTAGCAGCAAACATCCCTCTGATTGAATTGCTACCGCTTAATTAGACTGATACATTCAAATTAAGATGTTAAATGCCATTTAAATATATAGTGTTGAAATCTAATATCATGGTTCATCAATGTTTGGAATTTACTTTAATAGAACATAAGGATTTCGCCGTTGGAATTTATCCTTTTTAATTTTGTTTTCAGTGTGGGGG